AATCAAGCCCAGAAAATTGAAACAAATTCAAGTTAGATATTTTTAAAAATTTAATACTTAAAAGTAGACAGCATTTGGGGTCTACATGCGAAGTCTGCAGACGAAATCTACATATGAAGTCTACATGTCGAATTATTGGATTGAATTCAATTTTGAAATAAATCAAACCATCAAAATTTCATAATAAACCCCAACCCATAAAAACCAATCAATTAAACCGATTTATTTACCCTACTTATAAAAACAAAAAATTATGGTTTCATCTTCTCCTTCTCCTTCTCCTTCTCGCCGATGGTGACAAAAAGTAAAATAAACACCCTAATTTTATCTTCTCCTTCTCGCCGCCGATTGCTCCATCTAAACACAACCCGATTCTCGGCAGCTTCTCCTTCTCACTAATGAGGAGAAAGGTAATCTCTCTTCTCGTCCACCCATGTTTCTCTCTTTCCCTCGTTGAATCATTAATCTAATTTCTATCTCTCACTCTCTTTCCAGATCTTGTTCTTCGTCACCGTCGTACGAAGGAATAAGGTAACCTCTCTACTCTTCTTCCCATGGTTTCTCTCTTTCCCACTTTTAATCGTAGATCTAATTTCTTATCTCTCACCCTCTCTTCCAGATCTGGTTCTTCCTCATTGTCATTTGAAGAAGAAAGGTAATCTCTCTTCTCTTCCTCTCATAGTTTCTTTCTTTCTCTCTTTGAATCGTAAAACTAACTTTATATCTCTTACTCTCTCTCTCTTCCAGATATGGAAACCGCTTGCTTCACTTCGATTTTAACTTCGATTTCCCTCAAAGGTTGGGTTTTTACATGCTTTCCTGAATTTTCCATAAAATCATGTAAACTTCTTTTGCAGACTTCTGTTGCATACTTCTGTTGCAGTCTATAACTCCATTATAATTTGAAATTCAGATTTTGGTTGTTGATGATAATGTCTGACATGGAATTTACGTTGAGACTTTATAAGAAAGAACATGAACCTCCTCCGAATAAAAGCATAGGTTATTATGCAGGTGATACAAAGCTTTTTCAAGCTCTAGCTCGAGATGGTGTACTGAAACGAGATGAATTGAATGAGCTTTATGACTCGAAATTGGGTATGTTTCTTAAGTTCCATTCTATGAAATTTGGATGGGCGTAGAGGCTAGTACATCACATACTTAGTCTTCAGCTTGATACCAAGAAGCCATATGAGATATGGAGTCTCATTCGTGCAAATCCGATGAGGTTTTCAATTCATGAGTTTGAGCATATAATTGGTTTCAATTGTGAGTATAGAGAGATCTGGAAACTCCGGAAGTGGAGGTTACCGATGAGATCAAAGCATTCAGGGAGCTTTTAGGAGTGGATTTGGAGATGGGTCCATGTCTTAATGATTTAGTTGCAGCTTGTGGTGCATGCCAATCATGGTCTCGGGTAGATCGAATGAGGTTAGGATATCTTTGCATCTATGCTGGTTACATTGAAGGTCAGAGAGATTCAACACCCACCCCTGTTAAGATTGCTAGATTAATTATGGATTTAGATGAGTTTGTGAATTACTCATGGGGACGAGTGGCTTTCAAGAACTTGTTATAGTCTGTTAAGGAGAAAGACTTGACGAAGTCGTCTTATGTGATTGAGGGGTTTGTACAAATTCTCCAAGTTTGGTTGTATTGGGCTCTACCGGATTTTGGGAAAGCATTTGGTGACCCTTTACCAGATTCACCTACTCCACTGTTCCTTTCTTTCAAAGGATCCAGAGGCCGAAAAGATCTGAGAAAAATATGCTGAACAAGTATTTAGATAACTTTCTTAAATTTATGTTCTATTTTCTTATTGTTGTCTAATTAACTCTTAATTTTTTTGTAGACCAATGTAAAGAGCTTTGTTATGAAGAATACTATGGTTGAGATGCTCCCTTTATGGGATGGTGATGTACAAGATGCAAATGTTGAGAACATTCTCAATGTAGCATTTGATAAAGGCTGGAAGTGGCAAAACAGTCATTGGCCAGTTGTTGGTGTTAAGTTCTATAAGTGTGTGAAAGAAGAATCAGACAATGAGTATAACAAAAGAAGTTGTAGTCTTTTAATTTTTCTGATATTTTGTTAGTCTCTAACAATGTGAAGTCTGAAACAGATTATGTGAAGTGTGGACCAAGAAATATGAAATCTGAAACAGGGTATGAGAAATCTGAAACTGTCAGCTTTCACACAGATGGACAAAGCCGGAAGAGGTCTCGTAGTGTGGAAGAAGATTCGGTGTCAATGATACGGAAACTTCAATCACACATTGATGATTGTGTCATGGATTTGTCAACAAAGATAGATGATGGTTTTAATAGGTTTGAAAGAAGATTGATGACCTTACTAATAAGGTGGTAGCTATGGAGAAGTTC